ATGTATAACCTTGGAGAAAAGTTTGTATATGTACCTTACATTAAAAAGGTAAGATAGTTAAATATATAATTTATAAATGATTAAGTATAATTGAATTCTATAAATTTGTTGTCTTTTGTCAGGCTTTAAAAAGAATAAAAGATAGTTTAAATGTTATGAAAAGGACGATATCGCAAGAATTCAAACTGAAACTTTTGGATCCGCCTTTAACGATAGATAATTCTGAAGCTTCGTCTAAAGCTGCTCACGAGATAGCAATGTATAATGGATTCTTTTTAAATTTAAGAGATCTATGCGTCAACAATCTTTACCCCGATGCTACGTATTCCCGTAGAAAAAATAGTTTGCAAATACTTTGCATAATGTTAGATTTTTTAGATCAAGAATTTCGTGACATTACATGGAATTCGAAACAAGCGGAAAAAATCTTTATGTGTTTGTTATTGGACACGTATGAAACTAACAAAGAAATGGCCTTTAGAATATTGAAATCTATCGGTCCAATAATTTTAGGTTTCGATGTAGAAAATCGTATTTGTGAAATAATCAATGTTGCTACTGATTTGGGTAATAGCATTAGACCGATAGATAGCATAACTGCGGCATATATGTTTAAAGTATGTATGTTGTCGCCTTTGTTACAACAAGTGCTTAGCAAATATTATAATATGAATGATTTCTCTAATGAAATCGCAGAATCTCATATTTTGCAATTAATATTATTTCTGATTAGAAAATTAGAGGTATGTATTATACATAGTCACTTTTAACTGGTGATTCAAACGTGTAGGGGACGATTTTACATTTTAAAATTGTATTAAAGGTATCTTTGATGGCAGCTAAGGAAAATATAGTAATGGCAGTTACTAAATATTCTCTTTATGGATATCTGTTTTGTTTGAAAAGTTTATTATCCGATTGCGACTTGAGGTAATTATGAATGATTTTTATTCTTTATATATTTTATTAATATATGTTTGTTATACTGTATTTATCAAAATCTGATACAGTATTGTAGGTGGAGAAAAATTATGGCAAGAAACCATTTCTAAGCTTATATTGATGTGCTTTGAATTGAACAAAGCCGTTTCAATAATAGTGAACAGTTCATCTCCCGAAGGACACTTGCCAATGGATTTAAATCCAAATAATATAAATGGTTTGTTTTTCAATCCAGATAAAGAAATAGTAACACCACAAATGATATTACTTTGTTCATGGCGTACGGTAAAAGAGGTCAGCCTATTGTTCGGTCATTTGGCAATTAAATCGACCATATCCAATCATAATTTACCTGGAGAATTGTTGACCGAAAATCAAGTAAGATATATGAAGTTGTTATTATTTTGATGATAAATAAATTATTCAATTATTGTAATAATTGATTTAATCCCGATAGATTATCCAAATAGGAGAACATCTAGTCACTCTTCTTAGCGAAACTAAACACCGTGGTGCGTTTGAACAAGCGTACGTCGGTTTTAATCAATTGTGCACTCGTTTGTGGCGCATGGAAAATACTAATTTAAATCAAGTACCTAAACATTGGTTACATCAAATTTTATTAGCAATAACTGGATTGTTACCTGGTAATTTTAAAATATGTGCGACTAGGAGAAGCGCAGGTGTACCTTTTATGGTGCAAGTAAGTTTACTGACAAACATAAGTGGCTTTACTTTTTTTTCGTTTTTAAACAAATTCATGCGTAAAATATAATTGAATCTATATTATTTTTACAGGCACTCGTTTCTTCCGAACCTCTGATCCAATACAATACAAATAACTCGGCATTGCATTCCGTAATGAAAATATTGCTAGGATTCACCGAACTGGAAGATAATGTAAATATTTGGACAGATATAAAACGTGTTGTTTATGATAAAACTATATTTTCGGAATTCGAAAATCTTATCGACTTATCTAGAACGGATATAAACGAGAGTCTAGCCGAAGATAATAAAATACAAGTTACCGAAATCAAAACCCACGCATTAAATATTTTGAGAACATTATTTAGACACTCTCCGTTGGGTGACTTGGTTAAAACATTTATCGCCGATGGTCTAATAGCGGCGTTCAAAAATTACGATGGCAAATCTTGGGCGGTAAGATTTGTTTTTATTAGAACATTATATTCCTTCGTTTGTGTACAAAAAAATATAATTAAAATAAATAATTTCTTTCTTTATAGGAACGAAACGCAGCAACTCTTTTGTTCAGTGCACTGATCATTCGAATTTTCGGTGTGCAAAGAACGAAAGATCATATCAATTTAACCACTGATAATAAAATGACATGTAAAATATTTTTCGAAAGATATCCCAGTCTCCTACCATTCATGTTGGATGAATTACAAACTTTCGTATCTATCAACGAGAGTTTAATTAAACCAAACATACAATCGATTTTATTGTTATTGTCGCGATTGTATCTGAGTTATAATTATGATGAAGGAGATTTTAATTGGAAGGTCTTTATAAATTGTTTAAACAAAAAAAAAATTAAAAAAAAAAAAAAAAAGAAATTACAAAAATCTAATTTGCGAAGAAAAAACACGTAAGGATATACATGTGATTTTAGATTGACGAATTCATTCATTTAGTTTCTCAATGTGCGAAGTCACCTGTCTGCAAAACTCGCGAATTAGCAGCCAGAGCCCTCGTACCACTGATGACTGAAACATATGCTACTGACATTATTAAAAAATTATTTGAAATAGTAGCTTCTGGACAAATTAATCATTTATCATTAAATGCTATGCACGGATACATGTTACAGGTACGTTTCATTCGATTATTTAATTTTCTTCTTTTATAATCCATATTGTGTTACTATTTTGATTAGATCCTGGAAATGATAAAAAGGATACAAACTATAAAAGAAAAGTTAACACCCTTGGAGCTTAGTTCATTTTTCGAAGGTACAATATGGATTTTAAGGAATTTAGAAATAAACAGTAACGGTCCTGTTTGCTTTCCATTAGCAACCGCTTATTTAGATACGCTTCACGAATTACTCAAAGCGGATTATAAGATGTGAGATATCCAATTAGTCTACTATCTAATTTCTGTACTTTTTAAATTACAAAGATTTGTTTTCTTTTTTCTAGGATTATAGATTCGATTTTACTGAATATATCCAGTACATTAAAACGGCACGTTTTAGAACACAATATCCTAAAGCAAGCACCTAGTCAAGAAATCTATAAAGTTTCAGCTGTTAAATTAATTGTTTTTATAGGACAACATTACATGTTTAATATTACAGCAAGAATACATCTACATATATTAAGCGTACCTGAACCCGAATTGCAAACAATTGCTTGGACTACGATAATAGAAGTTATAAACGGTGCTATTTGCCCGCACGAAAAAAGATTATTGAATGATCGTGCGATCGACGTAGCTTGCAATTCTCTGGCCTATCTACCTAAATACAATCCTGAATTGCAGGATGCAATTTTTGATTTCCTTTACGCGAGCCTAATGTTTATGGATAAATCTTCGACCACGGAGGATCTTTACGACAAACAAGAAATCTGTAATCTAGTCTTGAACAAAATGAGAATTAATACTAAAAGAAATACTTATTGCGAAAGGAGTAGTTACTTGAGATTACTTGGCAAATCTTATTGCATTTTGCATTGCGATTTAAAGGTAGAAATTATTTGAAATACGTGTAAAAATATATGGATAATATTTTATTTGTACATATATAAATGTATGCATTTGTTTAATTTTAGGACGATACAATTTCGATAAAATGTACAGAAGACGTATATAGTTATTTCTGTCAGAATTTGTGGATCAGTAGTTTGGAAGTGGACTTCCGAAGATCCGTTTTTGAAATAATGTATGAACTTTATTATACAAATACAGACGCTTGTCGGCAATATTGTAAGTATATAACGAAATGCTGTTTATTTTAATAATACATTTAATAACAATCAAATTGGTGTTGTATATTTTAGTGCCGTTGTTGCAATGGTGGACAACGGTGCTACAATTACTAGTCGACGATAACGTGGAAGTAAGAAGAGATGCATCTCGGCTAGTTTGTAAAATAGAATCTAACGGTGCATTGGAGTGCGTCACTTCGATGATTCAAATATTTTTCGAACAATTCTGTGACATCGTTGGTACTAATTATCCAAGCGTTGCGGCGGTTGCATTATTTTGTTGGGGCATTTCGTTGTGCGGAGAGATGAATTACGAAATGGACGAGACTGATGTAAGTAAAATTTCAAATGACTCAAGGTCGTTGTGTGTAAGATTTGAATACTGTAATCATTTTCTAATTAGGTATTCAACAAATGTAAAAATTACGACTGCTACGAGCCGGTGCAATTGTCCAATACGTGCGTGGAATACATAAAAACGATAACCAAACGAATTTCTCTCGATAATCCATTACCGATAGATGCGTTGCGTTGGTTAACCTTTCACCTAAACTTGGATCTAACAAAAGCAACGAGTTTTCGAAAACTCGTATCTTCCTACGGGGATTGCGTTCCTACTATAGAAAAAAAACTACGAGATATCTTGGATCCAACGTATAAGGATAAATTACTTCAAATTTTAGCATACGAAAAATACGCTTCTTTACATTCCCAAGAATGTTAGTTGATTATAAAAAAGAATCTAATGTAACATATATTATATATATACATACTTTTATATATATATAAGTAAAAAGTGCATTAGATATTCTATTACGATAGTTCCCGGATATAAATGATAAATAAAGGATAATTTTCCAAAGAACGAATTTATTCTAAAATGTAAATTATTATTCAATTTTATTACACACATACAACAATAGTAATAATAGAAATTAAAATTGAAAAAAAAAAAGACCCGAAATACGATATATCGATTCTCGATAGTAAAAAATTGACGTTATCGATAGGGATGATCGAAGTTACAAGAAAAACTCGGTAGAGGGTGGTAAGTAGGTGTGTTCCCTCTCCCTCAATCATCAACTGTCTCACTCAATTGCCGCGCTCGTCGCGCGTGTCGACGCTAGCGTCGCGGCTGGCCGTCCGCGTACTCCGGTCGTGTGTAATTTCGTGTCCTCCGTGTTAACGGCTGGTCCGCCCGTATTTTAACGAAATTTTTTAATTTTTTCGCGCCTCCGCGCGGTGACCTTCGTTTCTAAGGAAGGCTACGCGATATCACGTCGACGTCGAGGACGTAACGGCTGATAATGTCCGGCATATTTGCTGACAGCATTGGAAAAATAAGGAAAGCTATTGGAAGAGGTGTTTTCTAGAGGCACAACATACACGAGGTAGAGAGAAAGGAAGGATAAAAAGAGATAGATACATATATATATACATACATACATCATACATCATACATACATGTATACATACATATATAGATAGATAGATAGAAAGATCAGTGTAAATTAGTATACGTCGAGTAAGGTGACCATCTCGACGACGACGACGAAGACGACGGGAACGATAACACAAGAGAACGACAACGACAATAACAACGACTAAAGAGAGGAAGACGTGGACAATTAGAAAAAGGAAAAGGAAGACAACGACATCATTCACGACGGCGACGGCGACGCAGACGAAGACGAAGACGGTAAGGACGAGGACGGCGGCGACGGTGACGGTGACGGTGTCGGCACGCAGTACGCACGCACGCGTAGAGGAAGGGCATCGAATAAGGGGAGGAGGAGGAGGAAAAGGAAGAGAAGAGGGAGACGGTGACACGGGGGGAGGAATAAAAGGAGGAGGTCGTGAAGAAGAAGAAGGTGGAGGAGGAGAAGGAGGGGGAGGGGGAGGAAGAGATTAAGCAGCGGTCGGTGGAGGATCGGTTGGAAGATCGGTCGGCGGTCGTCGTCGGGAGAGTGTGTAGTAGGTGGTGGCATTAGTAGTGGTGTTAGTGGTACTCCTCCGAGTATATTAGATTAGTAGTAGTAGTGCTCCTCGTGCTGGTGCTCTTACAATTAGTAGTAGTGGTGCTCCTATATATTAGTAGTAGTAAAAGAAATAGTAGTAGTAGTAGTAGTGGTGGTGGTAGTGGTGGTGGTGGTGGTGGTGCGGCGCCCGCTCTACTACTGCTGCTGCTTCTGCTTCTGCTGCTGCTGCTGCTGTTGGTGGTGCTCGTGGGGGCCCACGGTGCGTCTACGCCAGGCATGGAGCACCGGACTCAGTGCGCCCGTTTCAAATCGTTACGAGCCGTTACCGCAGACTCCACATCGAAGTAAGGAGAGAAAGAGAGAAAGAGAGAGAGAGAGAAAGAGATATAGATAGAGAAAAAGAGAGAAAGAGAAGGTGAGTCGCCACAGAGAAAGAGATCGAATCGGTCGACGACTCCTCCCCTCCCACCCACCTCCTCCTGTCCCTTCCGTCCACCGTGCCAACCAATCCTCTCCTCCCTATATCCCCTCCCCACCACTTCTACTTCTACTTCTACTTCTACCTCTACCTCTACCTCCCTTCCGAGAGGTCTTGACCCACTTGCTGCCGTCTCTCCTGCGAGCTGTCATCCCTTCTCGCGTTTTCGCGCCTATTTCGCACCGTGTCAGAGAGATAACCAATGAAATAATATCTACGTCGTTCTATGACCAACTACGACACTCTATTGCGTTTTCATTTTTGTCCTATGTCACTCTAATAAAAGAGTAAGGAGAGAGAGAGAGAGATTGTAAAGGGAACTAGCTGAAACAAGTTTGAAAACTAGCAACAGCAGGTCCGACCGACGGACATCTGCGATTCCTAAAGTGCGTCCTTTCCAAACAGGGAATGTTAAATAGCCTTCAAGCTTGATCGACTAACGGAGCATTCTCGAATGATCTTTCTTGACCTAACTTTTCTCTATCTTTTTCTATTTCTATTTCTAGTTCTATTTCTCTATCTATCTTTCTTGTCTATCTAATTAGCTCGCTTGGTTGCTTGCTTGCTTTCTTTCTTTCTTTCTTATTGCTCGTAGAAAGGGTCATCGATCTTTCGAAATCGTTTCTCGTCCACGCCTTTCGTTTCAAGGACGTTCGTCTATCTATCCATCTTTTTCTTTCCTTATTTATTTCTTTCTTTCTTTCTCTCTTTCTCTTTCTTTTTCTCTACGGAGAGAAGGTTAACATGCCTCGTCGAATCAAGTTTTGCTTACGTTATATTACATTCCGTTGTTATTACAGGAAGAAAACTTTCTACGAGGAGAGAAGGAAACAGTTTTTAACGGCATTTTATTATGAATTGTCTTTCGTTTAGAAATGTTTTTCCCTTTTCTTTTTTTTTTTACGTATAGAAATAGAATTGGTTAATCGTTAAATGTATGATACGCTTATCGAAAATAGATTAAAGAAAAACGTGTTCCTTGATATATTTCAATATTTATTCTTCATCTATTCGCTAAGATTCATTAATAATTAATAATCGAATTCCTGTTAAGTTACCAATGGAAGATGAACAAAAAAATCGATTATATCCCCCCTGTCGTACGTTTAAATTTCGCGCGCTTAATGTTTCGATTGTAAATCAAAATGGCGGGAAAGTAATAATATTCAAAATACGATCGTACAATCTTATTATATCTGTATAAGTTTGTTCTATTTTTTTTCTTTTATTTCTGGTACAGATCGATCGAGTTTCGGAAATTATACCGGAAATTAAATACGCGAACGAAATGTTTGTTTATCTTTGCTGCGTTGGCCCGATTACGTAAGCAGAACGATGAACAACATATATATATGATATATGTGGTACGATGCATATATGTTTAGTGGTGTGTTTGAGTATTTACTAGTGTACGTATATAACCATATTCTTCTTCTTCATACCCGCATGCTTGTGTCGTTTTCATCTTCGTTGTTGGTTGTATCGTTGCGTCGTCGTGGTCGTTGTCGTCGTCGTCGTCTAAGGTTTTATGCGTGTTTATGTCTGTCTGTCTGTTTGTTTCTCTGTGTACACCCGTTCGTACCATTCGACTCGTGTATTCAACGGAAAGTAGAAAAAGAAGAAAAATAAGAACAAGAAGAAGAGAAGAAAAGTATTCTCAGAAGATATAGAAGCGCTCGTTTGAAAAGCCTTTTCGGCCGTTCTTCGGATCGTGGCTTCGACGATCTCTCGGGGTGATTGTACTCGTAAAAAAGGTATTTCTGGTATCCTTTCTTAAGGACCGACAAAGAAGGGATAGAATGATAGAGAGAGAGAAAGAGAGAATCCAGAGCTCGTTTCTTAGAGGAATCTTCTTCCTCAATCGCCTTTTCCGAGCATCGTGATATGCCGTTCGATGATGCCGTTCGTTTAGAAACGTTTCTTTTAACGAGAGGTATATATAGTCTACTTATTTTGTTCCCATTTTTCATCATCCCGTAATCATATTTTTTAAATGATTCAATTCTTTTCATTTTGATCAGTATTTTGTTTCATTGTAGAAATCGCGTTACTGGTTTATATTTTTGTATGAATTATTATTTTACAGATTGATAGAATACGTATTGATATTTTATTATAAATACTCTAATCCCAATATAAATAATAGTTTTTCCAAAATCATTATTAATTAGTCTAACAGAGTTATTAACAATCTGTGAACCACCGTCCAATATTAGGCCTCATCAAACTTTTAATGGGAAAACGGAATGGTAGCAAATAACTTACGCCAGAAGCAAGAAAAGTTAATTAATTGGTAAGACATTTCCAGAAAGTTCTAGTTGAAATATCCCGTACTATCGGACATATCTTTCAAAATACAGAGATTTTGTTGTTTTCTAATTTTTTGATTATAAACATTTATATTGTTTAATTTTTGTTAGAGATATAAAGAATGATAGATTTTACAGGAGGAAAGGTTGAGAAACGCTGTACGTATTAATGTCCCCTACGCATAAATACTAATACATATCCATAAATAATTGAGAGAGGGAAACTACTTTTGTTTCAATGCGAACAAATAGAATTACATTAGGTTTTTATTCGATTGGCTAATAGCTCTATTTTGTAACATATACATCTTGTTTTCTATTGGTTCTACCTACGATTAATATGGCGAAGAGTATGACGACGTATTTACGTAATAAAATCAACTATCATCTCGACTTTTGTTCTTTTAAATATAACGAATGTTTACCTCCGATTATATATATATATATATGATAGATGACACTTTTTTTTACCAATAACCTTTTAACATTTTTTTTCTATAAATTTTTTTCGCTTGCAATATGGCGGCGATTATTTAAAAGAGAATTGTTTTCCTTCGTCAATATTCTATCGAGAAAAATGTTTGTTCTCTTACGAGAGTTTCACGAGCTGGGTAAGTTGAACTTTGTTTTTTTTTTTTCTTTTTCTTAATCTTTTGTTTGATAGAAAATATTATCGTTGAGATTAGAAATGAATACGGAACGTTTAGAGAGAAACTTATTAGTTAAATTGATAATTCTTAGAACACGTTGACTAATTGAATATTTATTTAAATACGTTTGAATATTTTTTCTTTTCTAACGAGATAAGAGAAAATCTGATATTCGTCGGTCGTCTAAATATTTCCTAATTGATTCTAACGAAATTATTCATATTCTTTGTGACGATTAAAGTCATAAGATCATGAAGTAAATCATTTAGATGTGAATACTCGTATCATCTATAATAATTTTCTTCGTAATAGTAAGAAATGATAATTAAATTTAACTAATATATTTTTTCGCGAACGAAAAGTCGATTAAATATAAATATAATAATTGATCAAATGTTAATCAGATTATCTTGAAAATCAATTACTCATTTACTCGATATTTTAGGCTAATTTTTTTCCTCTGTAAAATTATGAGACTAACAAGGACAACGAGTTTTTAAAAGGAAATCATTTATTTGTAATATTACGTAGGTATTTTTTTTTTTTTTATATATTATCCAGTATATATGAGTTTACTATTTTATTATTTTATCGTTATTTATTGGGTTTGAATTATAAACGAATTATTAGTATGTTCCTATTATAAATATTAGGCATACGTTTAAAATATTACAAATTATTATTGATACATTGAAAATATTACATATTAATTATTACATATTT